AGGCGACTAGTTTGTAAGATTTCATGATGTCTTGAAAGGTGCGATGCAAATGCTCAGACTGTATGGTTCACGGTATGAGACGGCGTGGAGGTTGCTTCGGAAGTCTTAATGAGAAGCATGAGTAATAGGAGACGAGATCGCCGGCTTGAGGTAGTTGTGTCTCTTGACTAGCGCCTTGCTTGGTGTAGGATATGAATTCGGACGATCTACAGGTACTCTCGTGACCACTTCGGCATAACATATGAATTGCAGGCGGACTGGCGCCGGACGGACTTGCACACGCTTTGAACTATAGTACCGCTATAATGTCGATCATTATAGCGTTCCGGCTGCCGTGAGATCTTGCGGGGTACAAAGAATAACATTCTATATGCCGGCTGTGGAGTATAACAGTGCCCCTTATAGCCTGATTACAATCTCCACCGATGCTGTTTGTCATCGATTTGCCAAGCTCCCTTTGATCTAATTATCTTTTACCACTTGAAACTTTTCATCATGACGAAACAAGAAGCATCCCCAGATGACATCTCGCCAGGTCACAATAACCCAGACACTCCCCTCTCAAACGAAGATGAACTTCGCTCCAAGATCTTAACCGCTGAGCGTTCCACTCTCCCGGAAGGATATTTCTTCAGCCGGGAGTTCGTCGGAACGTTTGGCGGTATCGCGTTCAGTCTTGCGGCGACATACTTTGCCTTCCAGGCTGGTGCCGGTGCCCTAATCAACATCAACCAGCAGATCGGCCCAAGTGAGAACTACTACCTGTTCTCAATCGTATGGACGGTCTCTCAGCCCATCTCTATGCTCTTGTTTGGTCGTCTCTCTGATATGTTTGGTCGCCGAAACCTTGCTCTTGGTGCCAACATTCTTGGAATAATCGGCGGTATCATTGCTGCCACTTCGCAGAGCATCAACCAACTCATTGCAGCAAATGTTCTTTTGGGTCTTGCCTCTGGCATTCCGGGTTCTTACCCTCTTTTGACGGGCGAGCTTATGACAAATAAACTCAAGTTTCTTGGTACTATCGTTGTTGTGGTGCCCAACATCATCGCCACTGGGTTCGGTCCGTATCTTGGCCTTCGACTTAGTATTCTTAGTTCATGGAGATGGATCTTTTACATCTACATCATCTTGATGGGTATGCCTCCAAGCCTCACGCAATGCAAGGATGACAAGAACCACGCTAACAACTTGTAGTAATCGGTACTACCCTCTGGTACTTCTTCTACCACCCTCCTTCGTTTGTCCAACTTCACGGAACCAGCATCAGCCGCAAAGCCGAGCTTGCAACCATCGACTGGCTTGGCACTTTTCTTCTTGTCTCGGGTCTCGTTCTCTTCCTTCTTGGGATCGCCTGGGGAGGGCAACCATACAAATGGACATCAGGTCGCGTCCTTGGTCTTCTGATCCCTGGTGCAATTTTGTCCATCGCATTCGTTCTCTATGAGGTATACGGCAAGCCTGCCAAGCCAATCGTACCCATGAAGTTCTTCAAGGATGTCCGAGGCTACACATGCGTCGTCATCATTTCCGCAATCACTGGCTGCCTTCAGACAGCCTTGTTCATCTTGTGGCCTTCTCAAGTCGCATACATCTTTGGAAGCACCACCAATGGATGGGAGGAGACTGCTTGGATGTCAAGCGTTGTGAACTTTGCAGCTTGGGCTGGTATCATCATCGTCGGGCCTCTCTTCCACGTCATCAAGCATTTACGTCTACAGCTTGTTGTCGGGTCTGCCTGGATGACAGCTTTCCTGGCGGCCATGTCGACCATCACCTACTCCAACAAGGGATCGGCTATTGCCTTCGCCTTTCTCAGCACCTTTCCCATCGGGTGGGGAGAGGTCATGACTATGTTGATGGTTCAGTACATTGTTCCGGAACGAGATCTCGGTGTTGCCTTTGGTAAGTAGCCAGGCCTGTCCAAATTCCTACTGTTTCATGACTAACCGCAATTCCCTGATAGCTGTCGTCTCCTCAGTCCGTACCATCATGGGCTCCATCTTCGCCGCTGTCTTCGTCGCCATCTACACCAACAAGCTCCCAGGCTACATGACCAGCATTGTAGTACCAGCGCTACAAAAGACGTCTCTTTCTGCAGAGGCTATCAGTGAAGTACTGGCAACAGCACCTACTGCGAGCCAGGCCGCACTCTCCGCTATCAAAGGTGTCACTCCTGAGATCTTGCGTGTCATCAACGCCAAGGTCGCAGATGCTTACGGTCACTCATATGCCTTTGTTTACTACACCGCTGCTGCTCTCGGGGCTGTTTGCCTTCTTGCGGCATTGTGTCTGCGTGACTTTGATGTTTACCTGACTGATCACGTTGCCCGCATGGTGTACAAGAAGGAAGAGACCAAGGAGGATTCGCTTGCGAAGCATATTGAGCACCCTGAAGGTGTTTGAGTCGCTTGTCTAAGTCGCTACGCCGGGAATTGTTGGTATTCAATGACTTTTTCAATTCGGTATCAGCGTATGGAGATGTCAAATCCGGTCGAGGTTTAGGTCTAGTTTGTGGAATGGCTTCAATTTAATAGTCAGTCAAAACAATGGAAATATAATAGCATCGTTTTTGATCCATAAGGGCCACGATTATCTGCAAATATTGCTTGCGATATTATGGTGGTATTCTGAAAGGGCCAGGTCATAGACTATGATTGTGTGAGTACTTGGTTTGGTGTCTGAGAGTGCCTGTGACAGTAGAGTGTCACCGTAACACTCCGTAAAATGGAATCTGTCCTAAATATAGCAGCAGGTCTGATATTCCTTGAGATTAATTGGTTAAAATGCAAGATGAAAGCTCCATAGTCTTGTCTTATCTTATCGAGTCTTTGCAGTACCAAAAACGTCAGGTGTTTTGGATGTGCATTGTCCAACAGCTTTTAACCAGTTATTGTGTGTTTATCTCTTTACCCAGTTTTCAAGTGTCCACAGATATTCCGTTATGCATTCAGCCATCTGTTGTCTTCTTTAATATACAATACCTTGCTCTAGATAACTCTATTTAGCATGAGCACGCTTCATTGAGTCTGTTGTGTTAACTTGCTAGATAATATCTTGCAAGGCTACCCTACAGAAACAACAGGACCAGGACCGGACTTGACTTTTCGCTACCCCTCTTTTCAGAGTGCGCTAACTTATAGGGGCCGCACCTGCTGTTGCCGAAGTTCTGGGGCGACTTGGAACATCTTCGGACTCGGTTTACAGCAATGTGCTAAAAATGCTGCGAGGATACAGCGCGATAGCACCTGGGAAATATGGTCCCCGTAGTGACATAAACGCATGAGCTACAAAAGCAAATGCGCTGTAAATTTACTTACTCAGGTACCCAAAATATCAGTTTGACGCCAATCTCCTTGTCTATTTCCAATATGCTCAACATTTCTCTCCAGGGACAAGTCGGCATCGTCACCGGTGCCGGTTCTGCTTATGGAATCGGACGGTCCATGGTGATAGCGGCTGCGCAGGCTGGCGCAGCTGCTGTATACGCGTGTGATCTTAACCTTAGCTACATGGATGATCTAAAGAAGGAGGTCAAAGATATGGGCCATGACACTATTATCGAGGGGCACTTTTTAGATGTCTCAAATGAGGACCAGACCGTGGCGCTATTGAGAGAGATTCTTAGGAACCATGGCCGTGTTGACTTCTTTTTCGCCAATGCTGGGTATGCCGTCTACCGGTGAGTATCTTCCTTAAATTGTGCCTTTGAAGACCGCCTACTAATGCTGGCTATGAATCTGCCAGGCCGCTACAAGATTTGACCGTGGATCACTTTAACCGCGCTGTAGATGTCATGCAGCGCGGTTGCTTTCTAGCCCTCAAGTATGGATCCCAGGCCATGAGCGTCACGTCCCCAGACAAAACCGAGGCCAAGGGCAACATCATCATCACCTCATCCTGCGCCGCCTTTGCAGGCGCCTACGCCGACACATCGTACACGGCAGTGAAAAACGCGTGCAACGGACTAGTAGAGAGCGGTTCAGTCCAGCTGTCCGCGAGCAACATCCGAGTCAACGGCATAGCACCAGGATGCACCAACTCGAGCATTTTGACAAGCTCAACGCTTTCCGAGAAGGGCGATCAGTATACTACCTCAGCTACTAAGGATGAGATCGCGGCTACTCACGCCAAGTTCTTTGAGCGCGGTGGGTTGTATAAGCAGAAGGAGAAGTTCTATAACCGTGCTGCGGATCCATCAGAGATTGCGAACTTGGCGTGCTTCTTGGCTTCCGATCTGGCACTGGCAATAAATGGGCAGATTATTCTCGCGGATAGTGGGAAGACTACGGCTGCGACGGGAGAAGGTTTTACGGGAGCTGTGAACCCAGTCCCAGCATTGTCAATGTCTTGAATGGGACTGAAGGACGGGTCAAGGGTCAGACAGAATGCATAGTTTTTCTGGTCAATACTAGAACAGGGATAACATTTTCACGTCGCACAACATTGAAATAAAATCGCAGTTGCCTATTACTGTCATGATATTTTTAAAGATGGTGCAATAAAGTTAATAGATAAACCCACCCAAGATGAGAAGCGTTTCGCGCTCATCAGTTAAGAACTAAGCTCGATTTATGCCAACAGAGATGTATTCACATCATTCTCTTCAAGGCCCTACATCAGTATCCTCCCGTTGATGTGTATGTAAACGCAGTACGGCTTCATGACTGTTGTTCAGGAGGGTGAGAGCTTATATTGGCCGTGCTTCGATAATGAATTGAGTAGATGTCCAAGACTCATGCCCCCAAACTGAGGTTCCTTCTTCCATTGATCGTAAGAAAGAAAGGTCATTCATAGCTGTTGCCTAAGCCATTAGCCCGAGAAATTTCACTTCACTCCGAAATGTCTGTACTTCCATGCAAGCTTGCACATGTCCGGCCCACCGAAGATAGTCCGCATCGCGTCACAATGCAACTTACTCTATCTTATATAACATCCGCTGTGAATGAAAGTTGCAGAACGCTGAGACGAAACGTTGTATACTTTTCTCTTCTTTGACGATGGCACCAAATTGGAGTCACCTTGTTCGTTTCCTTGCTGAAGAGGACGGTCAAGTCCATCTGGGACAGATTGACCATGAAGCGTGGCCTGATGTCGGTATTTCTCTCGAGAAGGGCGAGAAGATACAGGCCAAGCTCATTCAAGGATGCGTCTTTGACGGTGTTGTGACGGAAAGACTCTTGACAGTCAAGGAAGTAAGTCCAGTTGCAGGACGTCAATTACTATGCAGCCCAAGCTGACATTTTCCAGCTTCTCGCTCCGTTGGCGATGGACCAGGTCCCTATCATCCGATGTATGGGACTCAACTACCGCGATCACGCAAAAGAAGCAAATATGCCTATCCCCGATGTGCCAGTTCTATTCATTAAACCACGAACCGCACTCAATGGGCCTTACCCAGCCAAAGTCAACGTGCCGAAAATTGCACAGGATGGAACGAGCGACTACGAAGCAGAGCTGTCTTTTGTCATCTCCAAGACGGGTCGTGATATTCCTCGAGACAAAGCGCTCGACTACGTTCTGGGATACACTGCGAGTAACGACATTAGCGCACGGGCCCAGCAGTTCAAGAACAGTCAGTGGTGTTTCTCTAAAGGTCTAGATGGTTCTTGTCCGATTGGCCCGCTCCTGGTTTCACCCTCGGCTGTGGGTGACCCGCATAGCCTTGGTATCAAAGCCACGTTGAACGGCGAGACTGTCCAAGATTCCAACACCAGGCAAGTCAACAAGAGAAGTAGAGGCAGTCCGGATCAGCTAACCAAGGCGCAGAGAGGTGATCTTTGATGTTGCAAGCATTATATCTTTCCTGTCCCAGGGTACCACGTTGGAAAGAGGCACCATCATCATGACGGGTACAGGGCCTGGGATTGGTGCGATGAGGAGTCCTCCCCTCTCGCTTAAGGATGGAGATGATATGCGGGTCTACGTAGACGGAATTGGAACGTTGATCAACAAGGTTTGGTATGAAAAGTAGTGGCAGTCGAGGGGTATTGGAGTAGCCTAATTTAGAGACTGCCTGCGGCTTTACCTCCGCACTGGCATTGGCGAATCATGTTTCTCTGATACATAATATAAGATGACTAGTGCATGTTGACTGCGGGTTAATGGTGTTTGTCTATGTCATAATATGAGAGTCAGGGCAAGCTGACAGATATACCGAAGATGGTCCGTCTGTGCCTCAATGTAGCACCCTGGTTCCAGACCAGAAGCGACAAGGGTGAATCTGATCTTGGAGCAGGGTTATTGATACGATGTTCTTTTGTTTGCCTAAAGGAAAGAGACCCAGCCGGAGCAGTGTTTGAGTATGGAAGAAGAGACCTTGCAAAGGAATGCCGTAAGGATTATTCTTCACTATCATAAGGGACAACTGCTTGGTGAATATATTGCAGAGATAATTATTGGCTGCCACAACACCGGTAGTCACTGAGCAGACTAGCGTAGTTTTAGTGCTGTGAACCCCGCGTGATGCATCATGGCTGTGGGGTCTGGAGTTGAAATTAGCGTGCCGAAACCTGGGGTAAAAGGTGCTGACCATCTTGTGAAAGTGAACACCATTGTTGATATTTATCCTTTCCTACGTTAATCCTGTCATCATCTACACCAACTATCTGAGGGTGAAGCTTTTTATCATGTGGCAGAGCAACTCGCAGAACAAGGATACTAAACGGACGGCCGACGTCGCCTGTCACTCATGTCGAAAGTACGTCTCTCATTGTGAGGCAGAGGAATCAAAGCTGACAATATCTTTTCAAACACAGGCGTTAAGTTAAATGGTTTGTTAACTTGATACGATCTGTCATAGGACATCTCACTAATGTGTGTTGGATAGTGATCGCGAGCAACCATGCTGCCATGTTTGTATTGAGACAGGGCAATACTGCGAGTATCCAGAGAGAGTGCTCAAACCGGGGCCTAAGATTGGTATGAATAGCCTCAAGTGAATGAAAGTAGAAAGTCTAAGCTCACCGCTCTCCAGGCTCACTTCAACGCCGAGGAAGAAGATACAGAGATCGCTGCCAATCCAAGCCCACAGACCAACAGAACAGAAACAACGAGTCCGCATCCCCCATAGATCAAAACGGGGGAGAAAGGTCTATAGTGGTTGATGTGAGCCAGTCTGAGCGTCGACAGAGCTTTGCAAGCAGTTCATCACGCCGCAAATCAGATGCCCAGGATCAAAACGCAGGACACAAGGCGTCAAAGCTGAATATTCATGATCTTTCTTTCATTTTACATCCTTCTCATGAAGTCACGACGCCGGATGAAGAACCGCCGACGGCCATGTCGGTTGAGTCTGCTGATGTTGACAACCAGAGATTGTTCCAATCGGCGTGTCAATGTCTTGGTCTATCGAAGCAATCGGTTGAAAAGATGTATGTTGCCACTCCGATCTCTTGAAATTTCATACTGAACACGCTGGCATTCTAGGGTGCGCATTTATTTCGACAATATGGTCGCCATTAATCTTTTTCATGAACCAACCTTCACCCAGACTCTGCATTCCATCACATCGGAATCTCAGCTCATCGCGTTGCTAGCTGCAATATGCGCATACTCTGTACGCTTCGTTCCATTTGAAGCGGACCCGGAACTTGAACAAGAATTATCATGGGGCAGCACTGACCAGAAAACGCCCACCACGTTCCTCAACCTTTCATCACAGCAGATAGACAAGGCTCTAAATGAGTGTACCGACGATCCCCCGCCACTTTGCGTTCTGCAAGCCCTCATCGTTACAACTCATTGTCAGCTGACTCAAGGTGTTCGAGGGAGGGCATGGCGTGCACTGGGAACCTGTGTGAGGTTGGCATACGAGTTGAACCTTCACCTGTTAGACTCGAGGTACGCTGTTGAACAGTATGATCACAACACTCACCGCTGGGGCGAAGATGAGGAGAAACGTCGTGCCTGGTGGGCAATATGGGAGATGGATGTGTTTGCGAGCACTATTCGTCGCACCCCAACTGCCGTAAGCTGGTCTCAGATGGAAGTGCTGCTCCCAGCGCCTGATGCCAATTGGTACCAGGACAACCCGGTTGGAAGTTGCTTCCTCGAGCAAGAACCAGGCCAGCGTTGGAAGGCTCTGCAGGAGAGTGGAAATGTCTCTCCAAAGGCTTGGTTCATCGTGATAAACTCTCTGATGAAGGATGCACAAGTAATATCTTGCCCTCGAGGTGTACCTTCTGTTTCACGGCCGGGCCAGAGCTGGCAGCAGACTTCAAAGGGTGAAGCAAGGCAAAGCATCTCTTATCAGACTGAAAACAGCGAGGAGTCTGGACAGAAGCTAGAGACTTTGGCGAACTCGGTATACTGTCTTGTTCGCGTGCTGCCTGAGAATCTTCGCTACCGACAACAACATCTTTCGTTCAGCCCTCGGTTGCCGGGCCAGGTTGAGTCATCGCGACAGTTACATTGTTCCATCTACAATATCTACGTCATGACCCAGTTGGCGCGGCTCATGATTCATCGATATGATGTCTTCGGTAGCCAAACAAAACCTGCACAGCCATCAGCGATGAGTGCCCATTGCAAACTGGGATTCACCTCTTTCCAGGAACAGGAGAACCCTGCCCTCAGAGAGTATTTCGAGTCAGCGGATAATGTCCTCTCTATAGTCAACAGGAGCTGCGAGGATCACATCCGTCATATCAATCCGTTTCTACCCAGCACGATATGGTTGGCGGCTGCAGTCCAAATGGTTCGAAAGCAGTTCGGAGGTCCCTCGACTTACAACTCACTTATTAAAGCTCGCTTTGATGTTTTGTACCTCACCTATAAACAATGTGTTAGCTTCTGGGGCATTCAGACTGCGATGCAGCAGAATCTTGAGACTATTGAAGCACAGCTGGAAGAATTTAATGGCAAGCCTGCGAGGAACTTCTCAGGAACGACTACACAGCCTGCCTGGTCTGGTGTTAGCAATTCTGCGCAGAGATGGATATCGCCATCGCTGGACACGTCTGATGGACGCAAAATCGCCTCCCAGCCTTCCACCAGTCAGAATACTACCCATCAAGCACAGTCACATGGTTGGTACCCCGTCTATAATCATGCATTATCTATTCTCAGACTTAGTATGGCTAACATGACCTCTTAGAAACACAAAAGCCTCTTCCAACTGGTGATGTCAACAGCCTTGGCAACAAAGGCGTGCAGGCCACAGATGCGCTACCGAAGACTCCTCCAGAAAGCGATCATGGGGAGCAGCTCACGCGTAGCACAATGCAAGGGACTGACATGTCCCCAAAGGCCATTGGAATGACTCAGTCTATGGATCCACTGAATGGTACATTTTGTGCTGATGTGGATGGTCCTATGGCAAGTATGCCTATGCTGGATTTTATGCTCATGCCACCACAAGCAGGCGCTGAGATGCATGATATGGGGGATAGTGCCATGATGGATGTGTGGAAGGATATGGAGCTTCCGAGCGATATACGTGACTTGTTATCTGGATTCTCAACATATTGACGGCACTTATTCTCTCGCCATGATGGACATTTAGAGTTACATAAATGTCAGTTTTTATGCAGGAGGAATTAGAACATGTTACCCCTGAAGATATTTCTATTGAGCTGCGCAGACGTTGTAGTGCCGAGACAGACATTAGAACAATGCATTGATCACGAGGACTACCATAAATCAGGTCATCTACACCACAACATCTCTATACAGGAAGCCACTCTAGTAGATAACTACAGAGCTTGGTCACTAGTGTAGACATACAAGCGGTTTGGCAGCATGTTAGTAGATGACGATTTAGCTTGACTGAATACAAATACGAATAGTATATACAAGGACCAACACACTCCAACCCCCACACTTAGACGGTTAGTCCTTGAAGCCAAGAACCGACTTCATCACTGAGATCAACTTTTCGGAACATCCTTCCGCATCAGCCAGAACCCGAGGATATCTCCAAGCCACAAACCGATCTGGGCGAACAAGTACGGCCCCAGAGTCCTCAACACCACGCACCCGCTGCCAATCGAAGTAGAAGTCCTCCCACTGCTGACGGTAACCAATAATATGGACATCCAGAGGAACACCAAGCTTCTTACTCACGTCATATGCTGCTGTCTGCCAACCTTCACCTCCAATGCCTGTAAAGAGGACAAATTTGCCATGGCCTGCAAGATCAATGGTGGACACAGGCTCCGAGGGTACGGATGTATTCAGCCAGACGTGAGGTAGCCTGCAGCCAGGATATGTACTGGCGTCATAGTGCAAGATAGGGTCATCGGCTGCCTTACCCGGAGGGGAGTATGGCGCCGGCTCATCAGCGTCATATATGCCAGCTCCACTGTAGCGCTGTCCCATCTCGATTCCCAGTCCGTGGAACTCATGTGAAGTCTGGGTGATGACATCTCGGAAACGCCTTCGCCGCTCTTCACCTTGTAGTGACGGTGACGCGAGCTCGTCAACGATCTTCCTGCGATCTTCCACTTTTTCGGGAAGGGCTCCCATGGCATCCCATACGTGGAAGTGATCGCGGAACGCATCGTTGGCGCGTGTGATTATGGACTTGCCAATGGGCTGGCGCTCAGTATTGTATGTATCCAGTAGTGCGGGTGATGCAATACCCTTCTCGACGTATGCGACCTTCCAGGCGAGGTTGAATGCGTCTTGTATGCATGTGTTGGAGCCCAGACCGTTCATGGGCGGGTGTCTATGGACTGCGTCGCCTAGGCAGTGGCTACAGAAGAAATTAGTAAGAGTTTGGGTCTGAGCATGGTATAGATCAGCTCACATATAACTTCCCACAGAGTATCGCTCTGCAACAATCTCATTGATGAACCACTTGGAGACGTTGAGGATTTCAGCTGGTGTATCATCTCCGATAAAGTCTCGTACCCTCTGCAGATACTCTTCTTTCGTCGCCTGTATGTTAGGGTCACAATTCCGATTTGGAAACAAGATGAACATCCACTCATCCCACGGCTTGACCATCCTGACAATACCCATCCAGCCAAACTCGGGATGTTCTTTATCAGGCTGCATAACCCAGTGAAGATTCCCTTTGCGATGCTTCACTAAGTGAGACAGGTCTGCTTTGACAAGAACATTGATTGCGAGACCCTGGCCTGGCTTGCGCTCCAGAGGCAGGTCAAGTTGCTTGACTACCTGGCTCTGCGCGCCATCAGCACCAAAGAGGTATTTGGTGTTGATCTTGTATTCGAGATTGGAGAACTTGTCTTTAAGGGTTGCTATTATCCTTCCTGTCTTTTCGTCTGTGGTGAATGATGTAAGAACCGTATCGAATCTCACTTGGAACTTGTTATGTGTAGCATGTCGGATGAGGATCGGCTCGAGTAGGGTTTGGGGGATATCGGCTGGCTGACATGGACTAGCCATTTCGTAGTCACCCTAATAGCTGGTTATTAGCAGCTAATTCGCCTAGAAACTCTTGGTAGCAGTCTTGCCTTGCGTCTGGGATCATTTCCCCATGAATAAAGACGAGCATACTCCTCGCCAGCCATGCTGTGGCACCACCTGGTATGCACCATGCAGTGACCTTTGGAAGAGACTTGCTCCACGTCTCGATCTAATCCAATGTCACGTAGGCACTCTGAATTCTTTAGTAGACATTTTCAGGTAAGCAAGTAGATCAGACCTACCCAAAGCCGCCATGTTGGTGATATGAGCTCGAGGCGTGTTGGCTGTACCTGGCGCTGCGCCGACCATCATCCCCGAAAGCCCTGAATGTTGTCAGAAAGATCATGTCATACTATTTGCACTTCTTACCGTGAGATGAGAGAAAACAGGCAAGGCTGGCTCCGGCTGGTCCGCATCCTACAATAAGATACTGGGTCTGGAAAACCCCGTCATCCGACGTGGTAAGTGTGTGGTGTTCTTGCCGGTGATTGCCATTATAGGGCGTCAATGGTGGGCTTGAACTGGGAGGTAAACTGTGAGGTGCCATCGCAAGGCTAGAGTGTATAAGTCGTCGTGGAATGACTCGAGTGAGAACTGAAAGGGTGCTTGGCTTTGTAGATACAAACCGCCTTTTGATGCTTCTTGACAACATTTGTTTGTGCTGGCAACAACAGAATATTGAGATAACAACTTAAAGCATCAAGATGTTTCATTCTCACGGAAAACTTTCACTTTCTTCACAGCTTACATCATATGTTTTCCAAATTTCGGCTTGGTCGTATTCTGTTAGCTGTATGAAGCCGTCGTTTCCGAAGATAGTGCGAGCGCCTGCTCCTGGAACGTAATATCCGAATAGGGTTGGAGATCTACTCTGATGCCTGCTAGTCTCTACTATCGAGTGCTAAATCTATCGTTCGGTGCAACTTCGCTTTTAGAACAATAGGTTTCTACTTGTCAAGCTGCGTTATCCCAGTCACCCAGACGACCTGTCTAAGTCGACGGCATATTATACCAAAATATCCAAGGGACTTTTTGACTGCTACTAGATATGTTTGTTTCGCGTTGTGCTGTCTGACTCAACCCTATCCTTTTGGCTCTTCAGACTCCTCATTCCTCACCATGACCTCATCGCCGACCCGGCGCATTCGCCTTGTGCGACTCGCCCACGTATACTACTCACACCGCGATATAGCGAAAGCTCACCAGTTTCTCAAAGACTTTGGCTTTGAGCAGACGGCCAACCTTGGTAGCAAAACCTATTATCGAGGAACTGGCAGTGAGCCTTTTGTCTACTGCGCTGTCGAAGGCCCCGAGGATTCCTTCGGCGGCGCGGCGTTCGTCGTCGAAAGCTTCGATGATCTCACTTATGCAGCGGATACACTGCCAAATGCTACAGCAGTCACCAAGATGGATACTGAGCATGGAGGTGGCTATAGGGTAACATTCTACGACCCCGTGGACAAATTTCCGTTCCACCTTGTGTACGGACAGAGGGACGTAGATCCACTCCCCAAGTCTTTACCAGAGAGGGTGCTCAATTTTGTGAGTATTATTTCATGTGTGAAGGCTGAGCTGTTTGGATTATGCTGAGATTTATATGCAGCCAACGAACAAGAATCGCGCAGGCAATGAGTTTCAAAGATTCGAAAAGGGCCCTGCGCCTGTGCACAAGATGGGCCACTTCGGGATGGTCGTGACCAACTTTGAAAAGGCTTTTGATTTCTATACTTCTAGATTCAACTTTAAGCCAAGCGATGTAAGTAGTCTACATTTGAGACGACCACTCGACTCACCAGCATCCCAGCTAGTTTACAACGATAGTGGTAAGGATATAACAACCTTCCTACATCTCGATCGTGGAAAGGAGCTAGTAGATCATCACTGTTTCTTCTTCTTCGAGGGGCCAAAGAGTCATGTCCATCATTCCTCCTACGAGACACATGATTTCGATACGCAACTTCTCGGACATCATTGGCTTCGTGAGAAGGGATATGAGAACTGCTGGGGAGTAGGGCGCCATGTTATGGGAAGCCAGATCTTTGACTACTGGTGAGTTTGTTCGCCAACTGTTGTGCCCAACTCTGACAGACCAAGGTTTGATACGTCTGGCTTCATTATGGAGCATTACGTTGATGGTGATCTGGTTGATGATTCATACCCGACAAATCGACAGAAGGCATCCCCTGATAATCTCCATGTTTGGGGTAAGTCTTTTCGTCCACTTCTGGAATCTGGACTAAGTTAATTACCTTACAGGCCCTGATGTCCCACCAACTTTCTTGTCCTGACCAGGAAGCTTCTGTTCCTTGAGATTCGAATCTCAAATAGTATTTTGATCCACACACCCGAAGTAGAACTGCAATATCATAGCTTCAAATGTTTATCAAAACATTAAATTTATCTTTTATCTTCTTAGCGGTTAATCTTTGTATCTTTATGCTGCATGTTGTATCGTGATGTTGTGTCCCTGTAGCTCAAGCCTACGTGGCTTGATGTCGACTTCAAACTATCATAATTATATTGCCAACTAAAGATTCTATAGAACCAGCAGCTATGATAGTAGCTGTTTGTTTATCTCATATATAAAGTCTCTTTAATTCGTGAGGATAAGAAAGAAAACAGGTGAACTTGGCCCACGATCTCCACAATGATCCTTGTCCTTATTCCGTCTTTTGCAATGAGTCTCTTTTGGACTTTAATAGATTATTCTTAGAACAGCGGATCAGTTCAAAAACTCAATCATAGACGTTTGGACGCTTTGATTGTAGATCCAATACCTTAGTCTTCATTCGTTGACGCCGCATGATTAATTGGAGTCACGGCACGACCAAGTACTTGCCCAGCCTAAACTGGCTTCGGTGACCCGCCCCCGAAATTAGTCCGTCCACTGAGTTGGTCCGCATATCCAACCAACCTAAGATTGCCAAGCGCTGAGGAGCTCGATTACCACTCACAATGCAAGTCAGGTCTTATTACCTAGTCGTACTCCTCGTAAGGTCTCCATCATTCTGACTTTGCTTCAACCACTACGCCGTAATTACCAAACGCAAACATGGAATCCGGCCTCCCGATCCCCAGCCTCAACTTTCAAGACC